CGGTAAGAGGCGCCGGGGCCGCGGGAGGAGCGCGGCGCCCGGCCCGGCGCGGGGGACGCACCGGGAGCCGGGCCGGGCAGCGCGGATGTCCTGCGGCCGCCGCCGCGCTGGGGACGGCGGTGCCGGGTCTCCGGGTGCCGCTTTCTGGTGCACCCCGAGCGCCGTGGGGCAGACGCGGGGTGGGCTGGGCGGCAGCCCCCGCAGCCGTGCGTTCTCCCCGGGAAAAGCCACGTTATTCTAGCCGCGGTTGTCCCCGCTGGGCTGGGGCGGGAGCTGCAGCGGGGCCGGGGCGCAGGGACGAGCACAGCGGGCGCAGGACACCCTGTGCAAGCCTGTGTGCATCCCGGCAGAGCGGCCCTGGGGTGCGCGGGTGCTCCCTGGTCTGCACCGTGGCGCTGGGGGCTCATGGGGAGCTCTGGGGGCAGCGAATAGATGGCAAAATGGGGCGGTTTCTTGGCCTGGAACAGCCAGCACGGGGCTGCTGGGGCACCCGGGCTGAGCCAGTTGGCACTGGGAGCGTCCGTCTGTCCGTCTCCAGCCCTGGTTCCAGCATGTGGCGCGTGCCCAGCAGGACACAGGTCCTCAGGGGCCACCACCGCTCGTCTGGGTCTCGAAGGGAGAGCTGAGCCACGCGGCACCGGGCACGGGGTGACTTGGGGCTGCACCYGTCCGGCTGCCTGGGCGGCTTTGGGAACCGCGCGTTGTCTCGCGTCCATCGGTGCCGCCGCGGGACGCGGCTCAGCCCTTGCGCCGCGGTCACCACGGCGGCCACGGGGGCTCCTGGCTGCAGCTCCCGGCCTGGCGGCGGGTGTCCCGGCTACAGCTGTCGTGTCTGTGGCCTCTCCATCCCAGCGGGGTGAGTCAGGCCTTGGTGCTGAGCCCTGGCTCTGGGGCTGCCCGAGTCTCACTCCTAAGCAGCATTTTTTACCAAAAATAAAAAAAAAAATGCATTTTTTGAAAAAAAAAAATAAATTGCATGAAATTGTATATGGCAAGGGGATGTGAGTGGTGGTGCTGCCCAGCCTGGGGTCCTTCCCTGGTGTGTGCATGGGGACTGCCCATGGGGGCTCCTCCGGCCGCGCTGCTCCTATGGCAGCGCCAGGCTCCAGATCCAGGYTTTGCAAATGTCTGTCTCTGAATAAGCTGCGCTGAAAGCCTGGATCCCAATGAGGCAGAAATTTGGATTTGGAGAAAGAGGTGACTCTTGGCCCTTATTATCGTCACAGGCGAGACAAAAATCTGGACTTGAGTGAAACGAGGAGCCTGGACTCGGCCCTGGAGCCGAATGTGCAGCTCACACTCCTAAAATTGCATTTCCCAAAATAGCCTGTTGAAGACCAAACCCAGACGGGGACCGAATGACAGGTCGACAGGGGTGCGGAAGCCCCACCGTGTTGCTGGCTGCTGGCTTCGAGACKCTGGCAATGAGTAATAATAGTAATAGGCCGTGTCCTCGCCCGGGCGAGCGCGGAGCTGGGAGCTAAGAATAGCTCCGACTGCTGCTCCTGCGCCGGCACGGGTCCCGCAAGAAGCCCCACGTGGGGCTGCCCTCGTCCCCCACTGCTGCCTCGCTGGGATATTGCTGCTCTTCTCTCCTTCTGCTGCCTGCAGTGGGTTGATAACCGCCGGATCCGGGCTGGTGGGATGCAGGAATGGGGGTTTGACAGGCAGGTGGGAGGAGAGGGGGAGATTCCCGGCATGCGTGGATGGATGGATGGATGCACGGAGGCGGTAACTGCATCCTGCGCTGCAGGGACGAGGAAAGCCCCTCCGTGAGCACTGCAGAGGTGCCCGGCTGCAGCGCCGCGCTGGGGGTGATGGACCCTGCAAGGTCACGGGCGGCCTKCCCGGAGCCAGCGCGTGGGTGCTCCCAGCGGCTTCCCTGCTCCCGGCTGCTCCGAGAGGGAACCAACAGGTTGTGCTGCCGGCTCCGGGGCCCAGCATGAGGCAGAGCCTCCCCCAGCCCCTGCAGTCCAGCAGATTAAGGAGAATTAATTTGTACTCCTGGTGTCTGCCCGACTCGGGGCGCAGCCCTCCTGCCCGTGAGCAGATGTGCTCCTGCATCTCCCCGTGTTAGCTCCTCTAAAACCTTCCCTAAATCCTAATTAGATTTTTCACTTCCCCCGCTCCATCTCACTCCTCCCCAAAAGCCGGGGTTGGAAGGAGCCATGACACGGTTTCTAATCAGCCTCTGGATCCGTGTTTCCCTTGCGCTCCTGGAGAGGCTGTTGGAGGCGGCTGTGTGCGCTGCCGGGCTGGGGCTGCGGCTCTCCGGCCGCGCCGGAGCGGCAGCTCCACGTGCTCGCGGCAGCACCCAGGGGTCCTGCAGGAGCAAAGCGCTGTCCGTAGAGGGGATCATGCAGGAAGGCA